AAGGGGCTCCCTCACGGGGAGTGCATTTTGGGGTTTCCCTAAGGAGGGGGGGTGGGGCTCAGGTACAGCCTCTTTGCTCTTGTGGGGAAAGCCATGAATCTCTTTCCTTTGCGGAATTGCGCTCCCAAAGGCGCCCTGAGGTTCAGGAGGTTATTCTGCTCGAAATGCTATGAGAACTGAGGAATTCTGGACAAGCGCCAGCCTTCAGCACAACCCTTTGCTTAAATTGTCGTCTCTTCGCATTTTGTCGTGTACTAATTGGTATGGTGGCAGCGTATCTGGGGGGGGTGATGCTTCCTTGGTGGCAAGGACCCGAGTTATTTTCTTGATGAGGAACTCTGCCCCGCTTCTGCTCAGAATCGGATGTGTATGGCAAAGTGAAAGCTCTAAAGTCCTTCCTTTGCCACAGAAGGCAAAAGGAGTTCAGAAAAGAAAAGTACTCAAGTGTTCTTCAGAACAGTTTGTTCCTGTAAACTGGTCAAGGTGTTTCCTGTGGAGAAAGTGTTGACTTATCGTCAAATTGGTTTCTTACCAGTATTTCCGCATGTGATTGCAGGTTAATAAATGTAATTTCTCTGTAGTGAGAACATGCACGCGGTCCAGTCCGGGCCTTTACAGGTCAGGGACTTGGCAAAACAGCTAAGGATGAATGCGCTCAATGTTATGACCGTATGATAAATAAGCTGTTGCATTTGCTGGTTTCACGTGTTTTCAAACACTGTGAGGGTGACCAGGCTTGCTTAGATACTGTAGAGGAAAGTGTAATATTAAAGCATAGATAGGAATGTTTTACTGTTATGGTTCTTGGATTAAGATATGTTCAGGGTAATGTTTAATTTGCTGAGACATGAAACTGTTTTGTTTATGTGTTTTCTTTGAGCTCACTTCCTCCTCTCTGGTACAGAAGGTATCTTCCGTGGGTAGCACAGGAGGTCTCAAACGTTGTTTTTGGAGGACTGTTTCACGGAAGTGAAGAAAGTTGTGGCAGTTTTCTGCTCTTTCTAACCTGATTATGGGATCAGTAAAGAACTGACTAGATTTACGAAATACTTTTTTCGGTTCTCTGTTTCATTAGGATGGTAAATGAGAGGTGCATTTTAAGTTGGCATTTTTTTGTGTGTTTACATTGTAGTGGGTTGTATTTCAAAACTTTGAAGCTCGTATTTTAAGATAAATGATCATTAAGGCAGATATATGATTACACGAAACAAACAAAATTAGTATCTACCCTTTGTGATCATTTCCGCTATAACCTTGTTTTTCCAGAGCTGAGAAGTGGAACATAAAGCTGTGAGCTTCAAATGTTGGTTCTTACAAATTCCAGACCCTTGCATTTACCTCCTGTTATCTCTTTAACGTGTTTGGTGTTCACAGTGACGGGGAGGGGGATCTTGTATTCATTCTTTGTAAACATAATTGCTTTTGGTAGAACAATTGTGTCTAATGAAATACAATGATTTACTGGGGCTCCTGTGGTGTTTTCTGCTGTGGGCAATTCTTTCTGTTTGTGTGAATCCTGGTGCAGTTACCTGGCTGCAGCACTCTGTGGTTCGCATCTCCCCTCAGCTGGTACCAATTGAACTTTTAATTAAAAGTTGATTGCCTTGACATTGGTGTTCATGGGTTAATGCTTAATTGCTTGAGTTTTTGCTGAATTGGATTGGTTTCAAAGCAATCATTTAAATATTGTGTTTAATTGCAGGGTAGAAAAAGCAGGCTGATGTTCAGTGAGGCTTAGTCTTTCTCACTGGCAGGTACATGTGATTGGGCTCTTAGGAGTCAACTTAAAATGAGAGCTGAATGCAATACTCTGCAATGAGAGTACAAAGCAATAACACATATGAATTCTATTTTGGGGTTGGTGGTCACTAGTTGAGTCTATAGCCATAATCTATCTATCTTTTCTCCAGGCCTTCGGTTTTCTTTCTTGTGGTTGACTTCAGTATGGTTTTGTGTTGTTTTGTTTTGTTTTGTTTTTTTTTTAAATTGTGTAATTTTCACTTGCTATGAAAGTTTGTACCATGGTTTGTTTGTAACAACTTAGATTATATACTCTTCACTCAGGCTAGAGTGTGATTTGAGTTGCATCTCCAATGCTATATATAGAAGGGTTATTAAAAACTCACGCTTTAGACTTTGAACCAGCTTTTGCATGGTGGAACAGTGTAAGCAGATATTCATCTGCTGTGGTGCTCTTATATCTATGTGCCTGCCTCTGGCTCGCCTAGCCCTGTGTTGGAGGAGGGCTGTAGAGCTGGACAGGCTCTATGTCTGACCCAGCACTGCAGCTTTGTGACCTCACATCCAGCCAGGTAAAATGCTGTCCTCATCTAGTGTGTGTTGGTTTCACTGTAATACATGTAGGAAAAATTGGCTTTAGGCTACCTTCCCATCCCTTATAGGAAGAGTGCATTTTCATATGTATGTAGGATATCTCAGAGCGTCTCTTCTCTAACACCTTTGACCACTCCTGAGGGATACAGAGCCTGATCCAAAGAGGAAAAGTTAGAAAGTACATTGAACAAGTACTTGGTGCTTAATAAAACACTTTGCTGGCAGAAGGATAATGTGAGATGTGTATATTTGTGTGCATGTCCCTTTTTTGCACACAGCTGCTTGTGAACTGCTGCTGACCGAGGGAACTCGGTACTTCTCTCTAGTCTGAGCTCTGACTACAAGCATAGCGTGGCTTTAAATTACCTGAATAGTGCTAGCAGTCCAGTGCGGGCTAAATGCTTGAGTATTGATCTACCTTCCTGGGGAAGTGTTATGGTTGATGCTGTGGTAAGGTCTGTGCTGCTGCGATGACGCTGCTACTTATCTGCCTGTGCTTTGTGCTCTGTGCTTAAGTGTATTCACATGGTGCAAATGTTTCTCCAGCCCTCCCCTGATTGCCTGCTTCCATTGTGGAACCCCAGGCAGTCTCCTGCTTCCCAAAGTAACTCCAGTCATTAGTCTTGATAGTACTTATCTGCGTCTTCCCATATCACGCTTGTTTTCCTTCGCTTCCCAGGAACGGTCATTACAAGGAGCCAGAAATGAGTACTTTGAACTGGCACCAACTGGCATTCAGAGACCATGGAACACTCTGCAGGGATGAATAAGTGTGATCTCTGTTTCACAGGTGGGGAGGATCGCATCACCGCTAAATTGATGTCAGAAAATGAACTCATCTGCATGCCAAGTCTTCTAACCACCTGATGGTATGTCCCTCTGAAGTCGGTTATTCAAAGAACATTGCAAGGTTGAAAAATCACAGTTTTCGTTAAGAAACAGGGTATGACTGTCAGATGAAAAATTCAAATTTTTGTATTAGTCCCTCCCTTCTTTCTCAGCCGGTTTCCTCAGAACTGAGAGATGGCTTATTCTCCCCTCTGAAAGCGTTTTTTGGCTTTTTAAATTTATGTTCCCGTAAGGGACTTTCTTTAAAAAGAATTGTTGCTTTCTGAGACAGTGTTTGTTCTTCTGAGTGTCTGTAAAATCAACGAATTCTTCACATTAATTGCTCTTGAGGTTTTCACTTTACTCCAAAATATTAATTAAGCTTCTTTCTCTAATGCCCTCTGGTTTCTCTGCCAAGTAGTCTTGGAATAGGAATTTCCACATTGTATTTCAGTGTAGACTAGAATATTAATTTAACATCTGCTTTCTTTTTTTATGCTGCCACCTTTTTATTTATATTCAGAAAGTTGTGGGATATGCTTATAAGAATATATTTAAGCAGGACATGCTTTGAATCTTTTAGTTTAACCTCTAGACTGATGTGAAGTGAGATTTTAAACAAGCAAATTTGAAATACTCTCTTTTGGGAGTCACTTGTTGCATAGTAACCTCTACTGCAGAAGGATAGTTCCTTTGGGCATTATATATTCTATATATACACATGGATAATTTCAAATTGTAATGTCACAAGTGGCATCATTAAATTGATACCACTTACTGTGTGCGTGAGCTTATACTGGTTTGGCTTGCTCCCCAGATGAGACAGAAACCATAATATTGCATCCAGTGGAATTCCAGACTGAAACTGATGTGGTGCCGCTTTTTGTTGATGCCCAAATACCTTGCTCAGAAAGCAATGGCATCAGTGAATGACTTCCACGTTTCATTCACCCGCCTATTTTTGAGTTGTTAGAATCACTTGGGTGAATAATTTCCCCAATGCTGTGCTTGAGGACATACTCCATGAGGTTGCATCATGCACCTTTGCCTGAGCCGCAGTTATTTGGAAACATGCAGAGCCGTGGCGTTCCCAGGATGGGAGAGTTGGTGAGCAGCAAGTTAATACTCTGCTGTAGTTTGGTGTTACAATAATCACGGCTGGGCTGGAGCTGCAACTGGTATGGCTGCTCTCTTCAGTGAGGAATCCCATCTCTATAGGGTTGCCTTTGAATTTGTTTTATAGATATCTTAAAATGGAACTTGTATTCATCTGGTGGAATAGATTTCATTATAGATACTTGGATTTGATGAATTCGGAGGACAAACAGGCCCATGGTTTCCTGAACAGGTTTTAAACAGAGCAAATTAATCATTAAAAGAAGGGAAATGTTTCTCTTTTTAAATTAACAAAATAACTTGAATCCTTGAACCTTTTCCTATATATGCCCTGTATTCTGGGCTAGCAGCAGAGACGGATAAAATGTCAAGCTTGATAGATTGTTGGAGCTGGTTTTTGGTAGTTAAACAATAATGAAACTGTTATATGCTTGCAGGGAAACACTGCTCTCTGTGTGCAGACTTCGTCCTGGAGAAAGTTTCAATTGTTCCAAAGAAGGGCGATTTCTAAAATGCAGCTTCTGTGGCTGGTCACACAGCTGTCCAAATTACTGGCTGTCTTGAGGCCGTTACACAAGCATTACAAAATAGTTTGGAAACAGTTTATTTTTCAGATTCCAAATAAAGTGTAGATTTTGAAGTCCCTTTTGACTGTAAAATCCAAAAAGTAGAAATTGAAGCTGGTGTTTATATAGAGATTGACTTATGCTCTCAGAGCTCAGAATGCAGGTTTCTTCTGGTCAGAGGCTGATATTTGCATAATTCATACCTTGCTTTTCTTGGATTGAAAGTCTTACCAGTTGTTGCACATGAGCATGTATTTCCTTGTCAGCTTAGTCAAATCTAGTCGGTTGTTGTGCATCTTACTGTGCAAAGGGCTCTCAGTTAAGAGGAGTAAGATCTTGTCTCGTGCAGAAGAGAAGCGAGAGGGAGTTCATGCAGGTATTTAATAAAAATAAAGCCCGAAACCTCAGCCTTCTTTCTGACAAACTTATTCTTTCTATTTCTATTGTTATACTTCTTGCTTCTCTGACTTGAAGACAGATCACAGACTGATTTTGCAATGGAAATAACTAAATCAGGAATGTCATTCTAAGTGAAGTAAGAAATTCCTGAAAAGAATTGAGATGTGTTGTTTAGCTTGCTCCTGGAGCTTCAGAAGTGAATTGCAATGCCTACAAAATGTGCATAGAGGATGCAGCTGGAATTCAAAGCACCAGTAAATAACTACTTGTATATAGCAAAGTAACGCACTTAAAAACAAAGTACTTGCAGCATTTCTTTTTGTCTGCCCACGTCTGCCTTCAGAGACACCTTAGATTTGCAAATGGTTTTATCTGATAGTCGTGAGTGGTGCTGATACCATCTCTGAACTCCTTCCGTGGGTGAAAAACTTATTTAAAGATTTTCAAAGCGTGTATATAGCACGTTTGATACAGTTTTACCATTTTAGTTTGTTCACCTTTTGCTGCGTTAAATGCCATTTGTATCCCATTTTCAAACAATGTGTTCAACTGCATATAATGAAGCCTTTTCATACAACAGAATGTAGGCCAAACCCAAGCCTAATTCATGAAAGGCTTTACTTTGTCTAAGTGAAGTAAGATGATCGTTCTTGGAATGAGTCCTGTCTCTTCGTCAGTGTTTCCCAAGTGGTGTTCTGCTCAAAACCTAAGTAACTTGGTAAGATACTGTAATGGAGGCCTAAGCTTGTTTTTTTACTTCTGGATGTGGCTCTAATAATACAAGTTAAGGCTTTTATTGCTCTGTCTGGAATAACAGATGCAAGCTTGATATTAAATCTGTAATACGTGGTAGTATTTCCTAAAAATTCCCCTAATGAAAACAAGCGTGAAGAAAAGGATATAAACTGTCACTGTCTACTGTATACTTGGCTGATCAGCTTTAATCCCTGATTATGGAGGAAGCAGTCTAAAAATATTTATCGAACCTTCTGAACCTTTAAATAAAAAGGAATTTTTAACCATCCACAAAAGATTTGAAATCTAAAATCCTAGATGTTTTTCTAAACAGCAATTTGATAGCGTGATGCCTCCTTCAGACGTTATTCTTGTCTCAGGTACCAAGAATGTCTGGGTTTGGGTTTGGTTTGGTTTTTTTTTTTTTTTTTGACGAGGCCACATTTGTTAGTGAGACTTTTTAAAGTTAAATACCCCTTTAAGTAAAAACAAACTTTTTGAGCAATATTTTATTTTGTATGTAACCATAATTTTCAGTGTGAACTGGTAAAGAGTTCAAAAAAACAAACGCCAACAAAAAAGACCAACAAACTAACTGGACTTGCACTGTCTTTCACACTTGGGTGAAACCCAAATCATCTTGTATTATCCTTTTTTTTTAATATTTATGTGTTTTGTTCTTACGTTAAATTGTTAGGATGCTCTGCAAAAGTGCGGGGAGGTCGTTCACCATAAGCATTTCTTCCCAGAAGTGCCTTACTTCTGTGGGCTGTGATAGTTTTCTGAAAGTATTTAATTCCATTATGAATACAGTACTGCTTTGAAGAAATGAAGTATTAACTTGATTCCATTGCCTGCTGAGGTATTATCTGTATTTGATGTATGGGAAACTGAGGCACAGAGCATTGAAATGGCCCAGATGAACAGAGTGTCCGTAACAGAGCTAGAAACCAAAACCAAAAATCCTCAGCCCCAATTGTCCTATGTTAATTTATCCCTTTACTAATCTGAAAGTAATTACCCAATGAAATTTGTTGAACTTCAGGCCTTTTTTTAAAATAGGAATAAGGGGTATGTGATTTTATGAGTGAAATAAAAAATGGGGCAGTTTCTGCTGAACTATTGAACTGAGAAAAGTAGGACTCAGAAGAAAGTGAATTGATGTTATCGGGTTATGGGTGGAAGAGGTGGTGTCGCAGGGAGCTGCTTAGCAGCAGAAGTCGTGCCTGCTTGTGCTGAAATGCCAGTTAAGTTCTTATTTGTTTGGGATCTGAGAACAGATGGGAAGATGTTGTGAGGTTTTATTTAAAAAAATAAGTGTTCTTTGTTGTTAAAGGGCTGTGTGAAAGTACAGGACAGCGTAGTATTTGTTCCCAACTTCCATGATAGTTGGTATGCGTTTATTTTTCTTAATGCCCCAACACCAGGATTTAGTCTAATATGAAAACCTTATCTGCCATTTTACAAAGGAAAAAAACCCAGAGTGGAAAAAAAGTGCTCTTCCCAGTTACAGAGAAGCAAAATTAAAATGTGATGGTGCCTGTGTACTACGAAGGTTGAGGGGAAAAAAAAAATCCCCAACAAACCCAAGGCAAATTAAAAAACCAAAATTAAATAGATTTATTTGTTTATAAACCCCAGTGATTTCTGAAGCACTGAGTCATGATTTCTGAATGTTTGGGCTTGCCAAAAGCTGTGACCTGCAATGTGACCCTGGTCTGCTTGTCGGCTTGGGCCATATATGGGAAATTTCCTCTTTGTGACCAAGGTAGGGGATCCACAAGATGCTGGTCCTTAAAGGCTGTTGGAAGCTTTCTTACCTAGCATCCTCACCAGTCTCTGGGGATGTTACCCTTCAACTCAGTAACCAAAAATACAGGACAAGTTGGTTGGTGGGTTTGTCGATGTTTCAGGTTGAATAAAGCCTGGATCTCAGTCTGCATCGTTTTGGGGTTACTAGTCCTTAATGTTCTGCAGAGATTGAGGCTGGAAGAAGAGGAGAGGCATGGCAATTGGACAAGGGCGGTGGTAAAGCAACCAGTTTAGAATCGTTCTGCCCTAGAAACAAACCCTCTAGGTGGTTGGAAATGGACTCTTTCACATCTGTCCCATGAATGTTACAAATAGTTCACACTAGTCCTACCCACAGACGCTGGATGGCAAGGCTTGAAGTTTCCCTCAGTTTTCAGGCTCTTATCCAGGGCTGCATGTAAGCAGTTTTAAATTTCAAACCCTTCAGTGCTAAATGGAGATCGGCACAAAAATAGTAGTTAATATTTATGGAAATGCTTTAAGAGTGCAACTTCAAACTCTTTCTCAAGCTTTCACCTGTACTAACTTACTTCAAACGAGGGTGGGGTATTTTTCCTCGTCCACAGTTAAGGTGCCTAAGCCATAAATAAACTGACTTTTTTATTCCGGTATCTTTTGTTGTCTCAGTAACAAAACTAGCATTCAGGTTTGTTGCTTTTCAGTGCTGTATTTAACATCCTGGATCTTTCTTTAACTGCTGACAAACTCGTAAGTATTTCTGCAGTCTAGGAGAACAGAGCTGTCCACAACATTTCAGATGTGACTTACGTGCTGGTCTTTGTACATGTCTACCAAAGGAGATGATCCGCAGTTGCGTTTCATTCTATTTCAGCACCTAGTTTGGATTTGAATCGAGATTAATTTGGAATAGGCATAGCTAAGAAATGAGTCTGCAGTGTTTGTACTTGTTATGATGTGCCTCAATTATATCCATTCAGATCTTTTTCAGTCTAGCCAAATAACAATGATCTTTTTCAGGCTACAGTTAAATAGGTTAGAGGTTGCCTACCAGTCTGCACAAATCTCTGTGGCATGCAATTTTACTGCAGCATCATCGATCTGAACGTGCACTTTTCCATGTGTATGAATTCCATGGAGTTTAGGCTGATTTTTCTACCATCATCTTCTGAAACAGGGGTGGGGTGGGGGACCCACCCTGAAGCTTGGCGTGAAAAGTAATTTACAGGATTTCCAACTGGTGTTACAGCTTAGCAGCAAACACTCTTGATCCTGGGTGTCTGAGAGACAGCGATAGCATGGAGTCTTTAGAGCATTAGTACCAACTGCAATCCCAATTTCAGACAAACTTAATGTAATTCTGACTGCTGATACTGTGCCACCTCCAACCCCAGCTCAGCTGTTGGATGAATAACACTGCAAGGCTTAAGACTGTGCTTCTAACTGTCTGTGGTTTGGGAACAGCTGCTTTAGAGTGCTTCATCTCTCTGAATCTTTGTACACCAGGTGGGATAGGGAGTTTCTGTGCACACAGCTGCAATTTGTGGTGAGATACCTCCTGCGTCCCTACCCTGCCTCTGTAGATTGGGGGTAAGGGGTTTTATAGGCTGGAGGAGCTGTGTCTGGGATAATGCCTCTCTTTCTCCTCTGTTTGACTGCTCCCATACGCTTGTGCTTCATTCCAAAGATGAACTGTTGATGAATATGTAATTTATCCAGTTGGAGAGAAACCTCCTGTCACAATGAAATAAGATGTGCAGCTCTCATCGTAGGCCTCTTGGGCCAAGGATTTCAATGGAAATATGAATGATCTCTTTTTATCTGAAGTGGGAACTTCAGTGATACGATGAAAATACAACTTGACATCCTTTCCCTTCCCTTTTATTCTCCAGGTCCCTGTGTTCCCCCCATTTAGAAGAGTATCATTAAAGCCATCCAACAGTAGTTACCTTCTTCCATGGTGAAAGCTGAGGTGATTCAAAGCTGTTTCCCTGATCTCCCTGGTTAAATCGTGGAATTGCCCCTGCTTGTTTGTAATACCTGAATGCTGAAGTCATTTAGTTCATACCGGTCTTTTGCAGCACAGCAGAAACTTAGTTTGACTAACTTTCTGTTCTGGGCAATGTAAAATTTGCCAAGAGAGCAAGGTATTAGTAGCGTTATGAGAAGGAAGACTCCCTGAAGAGATTATATTGTGCCTTTGGAGACCATTTCTGGCTTTCAGGTGGGCCTGGATCCAGCTAACCTCCCTGAGCTATTGCCACGTGGCTGTCACAGAAGAGTGGTCTAGGTGGGTTTTGAGATGAATTCTGGAGAGGATGGAATGATTACCTCCCTTGAATAGAGCTGGTTAAGGAAGCTACACAGTTATTTCAATTTTCAGGTTTTCATTTAGCAATTTATTGCTACATATTGCAAGTAGAATTTTTGCAGCTACCCACTGCTTGAAAAAAAAAACAGCTGGCTGAAACTAATTCCAAGGAAGACTTGTGATGATGTGAATGAACAGAGAAAAAAAAAAATCGGCACGCAAGTGAGCATCGACCTTTTTCTCTGTAATGAAAAGGACTGATTGAAACGGTACGTGATAGTCTAGGATTCCTGGACTCCTCATTGCTAAAGTTTTGACAGCTTCCACTCTTACTGCCACTTTTGTGCGTGGGATAAAGATAGACACACACGTACACCCATGCAGGATGCTAGGAGGGTGGAATGGTAACAAAATGGAGTAGTCTGGAATCTTACTTCTCCAAAGTTTTCTTTCTTCTCTGACTTGGTTTGTGCTATATATTACAGCTGACTTAATTTTGTCTTGCTGGTGAATACCATACTAGTGTGAAGGAGTGCATTGGATTTTTTAACTCTCTTTCAGCACAGCAGGAGAGTGGAAGAGACATGGTCTATCTGAGGTCATAGCACATTACTTGGGAAGAGGTATGGGACTAAGGAATTAAGATAGACTGGCTAAGATAAATAATTTTCTAAAACTAGTCATGTGATTTTGTTAATCACTTTGGTTTGGGTTAACTTGCTGGAAGAATGTCACTGACTTATAAAGGAAAAAGGCTGTTGTTGAATTTCCATCTTGGCAGATGTCTAGAGACCTAATTACAGTTAATAGCAAGAAGAACTTTTTATCTAAATATTTTTCAATATATAAAGTGCAATTTTGAGTTAAAATAAACAGTTTATATTGAAATAATACACACCCTAGGTACCCGGTTCCTTTTAAAACAAAATGGGATTTCCAAGCTTCTCATGTTGAAATTTGGAAAAATCATTTGGTTTTACTTGTGCTACAACAGAGAGAGAAAGTGGGCAAGTGTTGAGTTTGCAATTCAGGTGCAAGGCTGGGACTCAAGTGAGAGGGTTTCTGTTTCTGCCTTTGGAATTAGCTTCCAGTGCAATGCTCTCTAAGTCACACAGCTTTCCAAAACCATTTTCTCAATTTAAAAATGAAAACTGCAGCTCTCCAAGTTCAAAGAGGTTCTTGAAGCTTAGATCCTTTGTGCTTGTAACAGTATTGGTGGGATTTGGTGATGGGCAAAGGTGCTTTCACTGAAGATCTGTAAATCTTCGGACAAACAGAACATCAGCAAGCGTTACTGAGAGTAAGCTTGCAAATAACTTATAACACGCTGATAAGCGCTGATAAAGCTACAAAGCGTTCTTAGAATACCCACTGAGTTTTTTCATGTATTTGAGAATCTAATTCTTAATTTTCCTCTCTTAAGCAAATTTTCTAAGGGCTTACCTTGCAAATGATTTACTCCACTGTAAGCAGGTTATAGCAGTATAAAAAGATCTTTGTCTGCATGATGATTTCCTCTGTACCATATAACTAGGAAATTACTTTGGTACTTCTCTCAGAATCAGCAATAATTTAAGGCGATAGCATTTCATTGAAGTTGTGCGTGGCCGTCTCTGTGCTGAACTACTGTGGCCCCGTTCCAGCTTTTTCCTGTGCTGCTTTGCACCCTGCCCCAACGGGCTACGCTGTTTACTTTCTGCTGTGTGGTAAATGGATGTCACTTCCTTGATTAAAATGCTGGTGTGCAGCCAAATTCTCTTCCTTTGGGCTCGCTTGCTCGGAGAAGCAGCTCACCTCATCGGGGGTTGAATCCAGTTGTGTGCCACGCTCCTTGATCTTGGCTTCTGGCTGGACGCGTTGGGATGTGCTGTGTCTCCTGCCTTCGCAGATGCCTGGCGCCCACACGGAGAGGCTTCTGAAGGCATCTCCGGGGTGGAGAAGCGCAGATGCATCTGTGTCATGCTGTATTAAAGAGGGTCTGAAGATGGATTACCAGAAGGCGCAAGCTGAACTACCAGCTGTGTACTGTCCACATCCAACGGGGAAGGTCTAGACAGTGTATGGGCATGGGGTGCCAGTATCAGCGTGCCCTGGCCGTCGAAAGCAGCCAGTGGATGTGAGCATGAAATGCCATTCAAGTGCAACTGTGAGCCCTGATGTGCCCGGCAGCATAGGCACTCTTGGATGCACAGAAGCCTGACCAAGACGCCCCAGAAACTAACCTGGACTCCCAGTTCTGACTATGCTTGGTGCAGATTGACTTGAAGCTCTGTCCTCTGCCTTTGTAGCTGGCCAGTTCCTCACCTGAAAAATTTTAGACTGACATCAAAGTTGCTGATCCGACTGGTGAGCAATTGTGTATTTGTCTTTGTAAAGATTATTGGTATTGCATACTTGGATGATTAGGGATGTGAAATGTCTCCAGGTATTTTGAAGGCGCAGAACAAAATGGAAAAATGTCTCCTCCCTCCATACCAAAATTTTAGTCTCTCTTCCCTCTGAACACTCATGTTTCTAGCTGTGCTGATATTTATTTACATATTTTTGCAAGATGTGCATGCTGTTAGGTACATGTAAACTTTAGTTGTAAATATATATTTTTTTTCTATCCCTAGGTAAAAATCTAATGTGTCAAACCAATTGTTGTGTATAGTGAAGTAGATTTACACACTTTGTGACAGGCAGCTAGGGCTGGTCCCCACTCTTCATTTCCTTATGCTTTGTACTGGTTAAGACACCACCTCTGCAAATGTCATGCTCAGACTGGCAACCTGCCTCCTTCTCTTGTGCCTCCTCCGAGTGGCTAATTTGCTGACTTTTCCACCTGTCCCAACATACGGTTGCTCCCATTTATCATAATTCAGGTCTGTGTGCCTGTGACACAGGCTGATAAAAATAATACTTCATGCATAACTGTCATTTGAGTAGATTATTCTGTAGCTCTGTTATCAAGTAAATACTGATTTTTGACCAAACAAGCGGTGAATTCAGTTTGTAAGTGGTAAGTTATTAGTGGAACTAATTTTAGCAAGGCATTTCTCACCAGTGCAGGTTTACTGAAGGGAAAAAAAAAAAAAAGTAAATCATAACAATGAGCAACTGCTATTAATGAGGCACCAAGATGGTTAACTCATTACATACTTAAATCATTGCAAAACAGCAATCATGAAAGTGGGATCTGATGAATTTTGCAGTGGATACAGCATGGAATAATAATGCAAAAATAATAATTTCAAACATGCTTTGCAAGACATGAGTATTTTAAAGCCACGCTGGCTTTATTTTAAAGCCCGTTCTGGCTTCCTGAATAGATTTCAGTGATCTTCAAGCTACTAGAAATGGCAGAAACTACTGCTTTTGTGAATAACGTTAATTCCAGTCTTGGTGTGTTGCCTTGAAATGTGTAACAGGTTGGATATGCGTTGTTGTATAGCATCTATACCTGAAGCACAGAGACCTTACTGGATTCTGCAGTTTGGCAGTTACCTGGTGTTTGGCAAAGAGTGAGGGGAAGGTGGAGAGAGAAGACCGACATGCTCCGCAGTGGTCTCCTGGAAACTGCTGAGAAGCAGAAGAGGAGAGTTTGGGATCGTTTGCGGGGTTCTGCAAGGTAGTAAGCAGGTAGTTGAGGAGGATGGCCTCTGAGGAATGAGATGGGAAGAGGAGTTTGATGGTTCAGGGAGCTAATAGGAAAGCAGCTCCTTGTGGTGAACAGTCTTCCTCTAAATTACGAGGTTTGAGGGCAGCTGATAGAGCTAGTGAGCAAACATTAAAGCCATGCCCTAGCAAAGCTGCTGTTTGTCTTGCACCTCCCTCCCTTTTGGCACCCTTCTCTGTTCGCAGTAGCCTCAAGGGTCGTCAGCCCTGGTGGTTGAAGGCCTCTCAGGAGGAGGAGGAGTACTTGTTGCTGTGGTGTCTCCTCCAGTGGGAGCAAAATAAAGCTGCCCGTGGGAGCTCAGTTCCTTTTGATCCCTTAACTCAAGTGTCTTGTTGGTGCTGCTGCATTCCAGCCCCCAAATTCCTGAGCAGTCACGGAAGGAAGCCAGACACAGTCTTCCAGAGCTTTGTTACACAGAGCTGAAAGCTCAGTGATTCTGAGGGATGTTCCTTGCACTTATTCTAGTCCCTTATTATTTGTGCTCTTAGGAAAATAAAGGGAAATTTTATATTCAAATGTAAAGCAGTTTTCCTATACAGCCAAAGCCTACCCTTTGATAGAAATCCACAAAGCATGTGTAATAAATCTTGTATGTAGACAGTGAACTCTGATACTCCAGCTAGCAAGTTTATGGCATTAATATTGCATATATAGTGAGAACCTGAGTTCAAGCACTTTTTTTTTAGTGAAGATGGAAAGTATAAAAATCCAGGCTTGCGTTACGAATACTGTCTTTAACAGTGTATGGGAGGAAAACTTTGACATCACTGGTATTTCCTCTGGAATTAAATGACGGTTGCAAATTTATACAAAACTCCTGGTGATATATAGAACATGTTAATGAACAGGAGGTGAAATGAATTTCACTCTTCTGTTTAAAAGCAGTGAAGAGAGTCACAGCATTTACAGCTTCATACTGAAAAAAAAAAAAAGGCAGTCTGTCAGAGCGTGCTGGTGTGCTAGCACTGCTTTGCCCACAGACCATGGCAAGCGACTCCCTGCCTCGTCCAGTATTTATTGGATTTCTTCTGGCTTTTTCTTAAAGAATCTCAAGAAAAAAGGTAAAACAATCCCCTTCCCCAAAAACAAGCCCAGTGTGATGATGGCCATGTGGGTGGATGTGTTTGCAGGTACAGGACAGAATGTTTAATCTTGCATCTCCACCCATGGTGAAGCTCCTTCTCCCTTTGCTCTTGCAAACATGCACAACATGCAGTTAGGATTTAGGGTAGGTACTTTTTGGCTGCCAGAAGGCATCTGTTGAGTGCCTGCCATATAGATTTCACTTTCCCCAAAACATCCTTGGCTGCCTAGTTAAAACAGTTATTTTCTGTGGCTCCCGTTGGCCAGTATGAGCATCACGTTCAAGAGTAACAAAGCCTGCGGATATCAGTAATGCCTGTAACGTTAGTCATGCCAGGAGGTCACCATCTTTTATTCAAGAAGTTGCTTGAGAATTCCTGAAATCTGTGGTGGTGTTAACTTTTCCAAACCAACATGTTAATACTAGTGAGGTTACTGTAAGTGTTTACTGGAGCACAACAAAGAAGTAGCTCTTTCTGCTGGTAAATTTTGTGGCTGGGCATTCATTTGTTGCTTCAGCGTAATTGGGGAGCTCCCTGCATGCAGAACAGCCATTCATTTGCAAAGTACTGATGGGCTTTACGCAGGGCAGTGCTTTCTAGTTATGATGCTCAAACTGTCACATCTGTACCAACAGATGTACCAAACCTGTCTGTCAAAGCATTGCTTATGGAAATTATCAGTTTCTGAATGGTGTTGACCAGGAATAATTAAGCTGTAGGAAACATTGTGGAGACATCTAGGAAATTGCCGTCCTGAAATTTCACTGTGAAATTCTCCTTGCCATTACCTGTCCTCTCCCACTGGTAGTGCTTATTTCCTCAGGTCTAAAACTGATGCTGTACAGAACAAAGGAGAAATCCCCCTTGAAGCAGCTGTGGATCCTTACTGGCATGCCTTGTTTTAGAGCAGCTGTAGGCAGATACAGAGGCATTTTAGCATCTTAGGGCTCAGTCTTATCTGCTTGGTAGTAGAGCTGCCAGTTAGCAAAGCTTTGCCTAACTGGTGGCAGCATTTTAAGTTCCCATGGAGCATCTGCTGCGCGTTCCAGGTATCAACAGTGTAATTCTTGCTTTTCAGCCATTGTGGTCTCCTGGGAATTTGGAAATGGTAGCAGATACCTACAAAATTAGTTGGGGCAATGTTTGACTGAGGTGCAGAGCATGATGGCCACTGCGTGGGCAGAGGTGGAAAGGTTTGTGAGCTCCTTCCCTTGCATTTGGAGCGGTCTAAGCCGCAGCTGGAGCAGGCTGCGGCATCGCATGGGTGCTGTCCCCAACCCGTACGCCGTGTTGAGAGATGATGGTTGCTGGCTGGCAGGTATCTCTTGATGTGCCTGGAGGAGAATCCTGCTTTGCGTAAGAGCTGACAGTGGCACAAAGGAAATGTGGGATGTCTGCTCACGGTGCAAAGTACGTGCTCGGCAGGAACCCACTCGCCTCCCGAAATGCTGACAGTGAAGTGAGAGCTGCCCGTTACTGTGTGGCTATCAACCATCAGCACAAAGCGGTTTTCAGTGAAGCATCTTTGTCAATGTAAATGCTGCATGTAGAGAAGCCTTAACTTAAACTTACACCTACATGTAGAGGTCCTTAAATAATTAAAACCTTACATCCGCTGGTACCGGCTGGAGTAGCATGCCTGAGTTGTATGACTGGCTGTCATGTTTCCATGTGCTCCTTTCTCTTAAAGATGGGAGGTATCTTTGAAAAAGCCTTGCAGATCAGAGGACAGCCCTGGTTATTGTTTGTTTATGGACGTTTCCCTTCCATGCTTTTCTAGTTGAGCAGGATTAAGGTTCTTCTAAAGCAACATCTGAGCCTTTTGTCAATCTTTTCATTTCCTGGCAATTACACAAAACTACAACTCCAGCTGAATGCTGAGTTCTGTCTTATTTTACCCTGGTTTGTGCGCTTCCTTTTGTTTTTCTTCCCAATGTTTGACATGTTGCAATGTTCCAGAGTGAATTAGTGGGCTCTAACAAAGATTTTTGGGGCAGGCAGTAGCATTTGTGTATTCTGTTATCGTGGGTGGCCTTCAGATTGCAGGGGTCCTTGAAACAGGAAGGGAACCTAACTACAGATGGAGTTTTCCACTGCTCTGGAGGTTGCAAATATTTGTTTGGCTGTGCAGCTTTCGTGTTGTTTAGATTTGCAGTTCCGAGGAACAAATTAAACCTCCAAACAGCATAGTTTAAAAAACAGATTCAGTATTTTTGCAATAGAAAGGATGTGTTAGCTTCTGAGTGGGACTGATAGCTTGGAAATGAATGCACAGAAAGAAAAAGTCATTGTTTCTTTTAAAGTATGTGTTTTGATTGCAGAGCAGAGCTAATACAAATGGATGATACGTTATTTCTATCCATGGAATGCTTCTCTCCATGTATTTATTAAGTGATAATTACCCCTGCTTGTACAGGCTGAGTACTGTTGGATGTGAAACTCATCGTTAGGCTAAGACACACAGTTACGCCATTAATGCTTTCAGGTATTGTGTGTCGGTAAGAACTCGTACTGTTTTTCATTGATCCTTGTTTATGCTTATAAATAATAACTGTGTTTAAGCTTATTATCTTCTGACACCAGGTTTTGTACACAGGGATGTAACAGGAATCAAAGGTGGTGGTGGCCTAAAGGATCTTGTTTTGCTGTGTGGTGACCATCCCGAGCGTTTTCTGTGCGAGGGACACAGGTTCCTGCCAGGGTAGTTTGCTCTTCGAAGCTTGCTGGTTACGTCTGCGAATAGCTCCAAACGATGTGGGAGGAAGGATGGTCAAGGCACCTCCAAAATTTTATGTCAGCACTGGGTGAGAGGATTGTAGGGGATGGAGAACATATCGGTGCTGCTCTAGCATTGGGATTTTCAGTGTTTGACAGAATCAGCTTTTGATGGCTTTGATACCACAGCTCTCTGCAGTAAGTCTGGTGCCCTGTGTGTCTCTGCCATGCCTTCAGACACCCTGTCCTTCCAGCAGCCAGCTGGTGCTCCTTTCTGTCTGTTACTATCCTGTTAGGGATCTATTTGCCAGTCTAAGTTCAATTCACACTACAGCATCGTGCACATCAGTTACACTAAGAATTGTTTAGCTGTCATGAATTTGTAGATTTTCTCTTCAACATTAAAATCTGCTGAGCCTTGCAGGGTAGGGCTCATTGGTAAGCTCACCATTGTGGATTTTGAAAGGCATACGTCCACTGCAGTGACAGCGGTAACTCTGATGAGCCAAATTCAGCTAGATTTTGAAAGGATTAAAGATGCCACTAAAGCTACAGATACTGGAACAGCACCAAACTGCAAAAGCTTCCCAATTCAAGTACACCAACCCAGAAGACTTAACACAGTTTTGTTTTTTTTTTAAAAAAAAAAAAAAAAAAAAATCAACAGAACAGTATGTTAGTATATTGTACCAAATAACCTTTAGGACTCACACCAGCCCCTTTCCCCTGGGAATCTGGAGTTCTCAGTGGCAATACTTACCAAGGCAAAAGAAATGAATTGGCTGTTGGAGCTGAGAGGTGTTTTACTTCCAGAAGTTTATAAAATTGACGAGTCCAATGCTATCAGCGATGGACCTGATTTTTAAGATGTGAAAGAAACACGGTCCAGGAGCTACAGCATGAATGTAGAAATGCAGAGGCGGCAATTTGTATTCTGTTTACCAGTAAGTGATGACACATGGTGTGTGCTCTAGAAACTGAATGCCCAGATGAATTTAGATTTCTTTGTAAACTCCCAAAAGCAAGTTTATAGCAGTGTGTTTCTGGAATACTTATGCATGGGTGGTCTTAGAAGACTCCCAAACTGTGCGTTTTGTATTGGACTGTTAGGATTTTAGGTAAGTGCATATATCTATCTCATTATTTGGCTTGCAAAAAAAATCCAAACCAAGCGATTATGTGTCTCAGATGCAATTGTTTTCCCAAGTTACCAGAAGCTAATATTTGATTTTTCTTAAGTTCTTGACGTTTACTTACTATGTGATGATTTAGCCTTGTAATGCTGCAAATTCAGTTGAGAACTGGCGTATGTTAAATCGGTGGCTCCGCTGTCCTTGTCTTTTATTTTGTCTCTTTAGATTTGTTAGCTGTAAATCTGTAGAGGGATTTAGAATAAAATTGAAGAACAGCCATCTGCGATCTTGCTGCTGATTTTATTTTAATAATGTATGAGACATAATTTGAGCTTCTGTTTGCTTTTCCCAGTGCACAAAAAAAACAAAGTCAGTGTATTACGGCTTACATGGAATGGAGACAGCCTGTTAGAGCAAACTTGATCTTGGAGTCCTGTACAGCCAACTGAAACATGACATTTAACTTATGTTTGCTGTAATCTCTCAACTCTATGAAATTCCAATAATAACTATCCTGAACTTTATTTGTCCTTTCTCACCAAAGGCGTACCATGCTGGGTGTGTGGGTTTTGCATGTGCTTCCAAGTTAGAGGAAAGATCAAAAATTAACAAACACGCTGTCAAAAATGAATTGCTGGTGGGAAATGTAAATATGCATTTTATGCTATATTCTCACTTTAGCTGATGGATGTTTCCCGTGTCATTGCTAATGTGTATCTTTCCCACTTTCAGTTACTATGTGGGCAAGCTGTTGTAATTGGTTTTGTTTGGATGGCTCACCCGAAGAGATGCAGCCGCAGCCGCAGCAGGGAGCCAGAGCCCAAGCCTATTCCAACCCTGGGTACAGCTCCTACCCGTCTCCCACTGCCTCTGAACAGAGCTGCAAAGCCTGCGGGGTGCACTTCGACAGCTCCTCTAGGAAGGTGAGTCGCAAACGTCTTCTCTGGGAGTGTTCAGTTGGACTGCAACATTCCATCTGACTTTCATTTAATTACAGAAAACCAATTTGAAGAGAAATGGGTGCACGAGAGGCCTCTCATTTGAGGATATACCATATGGGAAAAGACAGTTTGCCTTTGCTTCCGTGTCTTTAGTCATTCTTTTGCAATTAGCAGACGTAGTTAAATATGACTGGAAATGCAGTCGTTAACCTTCAGTAGACTTGGCTTTCCCAGGCACTGAAAGAAGAAAGCCAAACTGCTTAAAATCATTTAAAGGAGCATTAACCGGCACATGAGTTTTCAAATTTGTTATTGAAAACCACTAATGTCCTTTAAAAAAAAAAAAAAAAAAGTTGTGGCAAGAAATTTAGTAATCTGTTTGTGCTTTCTATAAAGGAAGAGCTACATATCTCTTTTCCAAACTATTGTTGCTCAAACCGAAAAGCCATCCAAGTTTATTGAGGGTGTGTGTTCAATTGCTGAAGCTCGGTGCCAAAAAAAAAAAACCAACCCCAAATCTATTTTTTCTTTTTTGTAAACTTCATTTGTGAGCATACAGATACCAAAATAATTGTTGCCACAAGATTTTTAATTAGACAGCAAACCTGGTCTGGGACTTTATTTGGGCAGGGTGGTTCCTATAATGCTGCTTGAAAAATGTTCTAGTGAGGAAAGTTGTTCAGAGTCCAAGCTCTGTGGCTTAAGAACTGTCTTGTGTATAGCATGTTACTGAACTTAATAATGTGAGAGCTTAAAAATTACAGTGAATTTTGGCTACAGAAATTAGATGGGGAAATTAATAAATTGGTCTTTCTTGCACCTTTTTATTCATGTATGCTGGCACAGATCTGAGAAATGGTAAGTCTTGGCAGAGCTGTTTCTTTCTACTCACAGAAGAAAAGGGATGTTTATGCATTTTTGCACTGAGAAGTGTTATTGCTCCAGAAATCACTACAAATTTAAATTTTGGTAATATATGTTGGGGGTTGGATATATATGTTAATATATTTTGGGTATGTAAGTATGCTTAGGCTTTTTCTTGGTAGCAGGCAGGTTCTGGGTCGGGCGGGAATGATGCAGTCACTGCACATGACTCCAGATAGTGTTGCCTTTAACGATGTCCTCATTAATGTGATGCATCTTTGCAAACACTTGTGGAAGGAATTGTTCTGAATCCAGGGCCTACTCTTCTGCACAGTAGCAAATAGTGGATGTAGAAGATTCTGCTCTCGAAAAGAAAACAGTTCATGCAGTGAAGTGTGGATTTTACAGTAGCAGTGCTAGAACCGTCATCGCGTTTTTCCTGGTATCTTATAAAACATATGCTCTAATTGAAGCTGTCTTTAAAGCAGTTTCATGTACGAGAGTCATCAGTACAGTTCCAGATATGTGAAAACATACTGATGGATCGGGGCTAGGTAAAGCTCTGGTGTGCAAATCATAGAGGATCTGCTAAAGCAATTTAAGCCATTTCTGCTCCCAGCAGACTTCCCTGTTTTTCTGCTGGAGTTGGCTGTCAGTGCAACTGGGGCAGCACAGTACAATGTGTCCTTGTGTCTCGGCTGCTCCCATTCAGTGCAGGCTATCAATGAAAATGAGTTTGAGGTTTATATCCTGTATCGTGAAGGGGAGCTCCTAAACCTTCCTTCCACCTTCCTTCTGTCACCACAACTACTGAGCAGTAATCTGGGACTGACTTGAGCAGGATGGCTATAGCTGGCAAAGCTTAAACCTCTGCAGGAAGGTCTGCTAGATCGTCCATCAGTCCTTGATCTCCAGAAGAGAATTTGAGATAAAGAACTGAGCACGTAACTTGCAAAACATTGACATGTTTGTAAGCCATGTTAATTCTTTACTTCTGTTGATATGGCCCAAGAGGTGTATGAAATCTCACTTTGCTGTAACCAGAGCACCGATAACTCTGCATTTTGTCCCAAGAGAGGCAGTACCTTTGAACTCTAGTGTCCAGTTAACGTTTATACTAAAATACAATAGATAAAAATTAATTCCTTCCACCATAAAGATAACCTAGATTGCTTTTAAAAACAACCAACCAACTGACCAACATCATCGCCCTCTCCCCCAAAAAAAGTCAGAACGATGGTATCTTAGGTACTTGATCTTTTATCATAATTGTATTTTAATTTTCGTAAAAGCATCTTCCTGAAAATGTCAGCCAATTTAAGGCACTGAAATCAGAAAATGGGTTAGGCTAGGGGAGGTTTGATTGGAGCATGTATTTATAAGATGCTTTTCACTGTTGGAGCATATTTAAAGGATGTAAAATTTCATCATGGTAGCAAAAATATCTTGAGGTTTTTTGGTGTTTTCCTTCTCTTGGATGACTTCTTTGATCTTGGTTTTCTGTTGCAAATTGATGCCACAAAATCTTTAAAATTTAAAACAAGCATTCTTAATTTCCCTCTCTGCTGGTAGAAAGCTATGGCAGGCATTCTTGGTGGGTATGTCAGGTTGTTATTCCTTCCTCCCCCATTTTCTGATTTCAGTGCCTTAAATTGGCTGACATTTTCAGGAAGATGCTTTTCTTTGCATACTTACAGAAAAAGCTCCTGGCAAGCTAAAGTGTAAGATTAAAAAAAACCCCTGAACAACAGTAGCCGTAGTGAAAGTTTGAATGCTGGCATTTCTTCATTTTATCCTGCTTAGAGAGAAGAGCCAAGTGTATCAAAGCCCCATCCTGGTATCTCTGGGAGACTAGCCGTTAGGGCAACCAACCAGGAACAGCTTCCATTCCGGCTGGGCTTCTGATTTAAAGGATTTCACTTCTGTTTGACCATCCTGTGATAGTGCTGCCAGTTAGTAAGCATCACTCAGAAGTGGCCTGACTTTTTAGTAATACGATTTCATTTACACCAACATTTCAAACTAATAGTTCTGAAGAGTCTTCAATCATTGCCCTTTCAGTCAGAGTTCAGGCAAATAGATCAGAGCTGGAAAAGCTGCTTAAAGGGAGATGTGGCAAACAGCTTCTTGTGCATGTTTAAATACTTGATGCTCAGATACAGGCTGGGGAATTTTTTTTTTCTCTGAAGATCAATCCTAGTGGTGAACCGATAAGCCAGAGACATGCCTGGTTTTGTTTTGACTTCTGAAATGTATAATTTGGTAACTAAGGCAGACTCATGTTATTACTCTTAATTGCTTGCAAAAAACATCTTGGGTAACGCAGCCCTTGTAACTGTGCTCGCTTACGTGATACCTAAACGTGTAAGTACTCAAGTAGGTGGTTTCTGGCTGGTCCTTGGCCACGCACTGGTTCTCCTTGGAGCTGGTTTGGCAGTCTGCAGAGCATGGGGGAGGCTTCCCCTGCCAGAGTAAAGCAGGGTTGTTTGGTTTTTTTTTTTTTTTTCTTCTCCCTTCTTCCCACAGCTCCCCTGTCAGAGACGGGTGACCAAGAGAGGGAAAGTGCTATCAACGGGGTTGTTTTCCATTACTCTGCCTTTGGTGGAGCGTTTGTTCCCCTGCTCTAGACACTTACAACCAGTAGTCCCCGAGAAACTGGATTGGTCCTGCAATCATAGGGACAAAAAAAAGTCAGTTACATACTAATGTTTTTTTATAATGACTCAGTTAAGGAAAACGTCTCAAAACTTGATGATGTGTGGAAATTGCCCTTCCTGTCTTGATTTGTGGTTGATGAAAGTCACTTTTATCTGGCAGGCCCCCAAAACATTTTTTGAGATGAGGTTTCAGGTTTGCATGACCAGAGATTCTCTCTATGGTAGAAATGCTCATGTTTTAAAATGCTTAGGGAATTAGGCAATTGGGATTCTTTCCACTAACTGTCATTATAAGTCTATTACAGGGTCTAAATGAGAAGTCTGTTGGTTATAATTGTAAGAGGATGTGTGGGGTGAGGGGGCTGCTAGGCTGTAAAGGAGATCAGAAGGAGCAATGTAAGCAAGTAGCATATTTACACCTTTTAAAACATGAGAAATCTGCTTTCTTTGAACTGTGAAGTTAGAAATGTGAATTACTAGAAGTAATTCATGAAACAGGTTTTTTGTCTCGGAGTTTGTACTTGTTACTTCTCCAACTCTGCATGTGTATTTTTCCTTGCGTAGCTCTGGAGGGTCAGGATTCAGGATTTCATAGAGATGCTTGTCTTCTCCGAGACACTGAATTAGTAGCATGTTTAACCAGCACTGAAACCAGTTCTTTCTTCCCTCAGGACTTTTTAAAACTCACATAATGTGGCTGTTCTGCTGCTGTTCCTATTGGAAAATGTAGAATTTGACTTTCCTAAGTGTTGAACAGTCAAGTTTCTGCAGAAGTCAACACGGACTGTGAGTGCTTGGAACTTCTGAAAACTGAGCCCTGAGTGACGAGACCAGAACAGTATAAAATATAAACATTAAACAGCAGAATTTAATCTGTGAAGTTTTTAATCATCTGGGGCCTAATATTTCCAAAACTTCCAACACTTTCTGTCTAGCACCTGACTGGCACACAGTGTACATATTATTTTCAAAATAAGCTGGCTATTTTTGTTGCATAAATAAATGCTGAATTCTTTTATGTCTGTCAGACACTGTAAGCCTTGCTGTTCCCTTTTCCTCTTATGGTGAAAAAAAGATTCATTTAGTGATTGCAGCAAATTGGAGGGGAAAAATAAAGGGGGGGAGGGAGGTCACTCATAGCAAGTATTAAATTTATTAAATAGAGAAATGTTTTTAAGTAGTTCCCTCCAATGCTAGAGCTTCCTTAATGTACAGAGCAGTATTTCACTTTGTTATAAAGCAATGCACAACAAGCTGTAATTTACTTGAAAGTCTGCTGCCTCATAGATACCTCCTGATCTCATCTGTGGCTTAAACTGGATGAACAGGTCCAGAATGAGGTGCAGAGAACTCCTGTCGTTTGAGAGAATTGTCCAAGAATAGAATATTTCACTCTGGGTAAATGGAGTGTAACTAGTGGTTTTCTAGGAACTGTGAGGGATCCAGTGATCTGCTCACGGGATCAATCCTTTTCCTCATCTAGGAACACGAGAAACATACTTGGCACTTTTTCACAAATTAGAAGGTTTTGAATATGCTTTGACTTTTAATTTTTTAACTTTTAATTTATGCTGCTACTTACTTTGGCTCCCAGACGGTAGGGGAGCACTGCCTGCGGTCAGTGTGCACCTCTGTTGCAGGTCATGGTGCATTGGTTTGACTCTGTTCCCTTCTCTTTACCAGCACATCTGCTTGGACTGTAAGAAGAATTTTTGTACGTCCTGCTCAAACCAGCCTGAAGGTGGTCCCCTTCTCTGCCATCTATGCCAGCGTTTCCGAGCCACAGCTTTTCAGCGGGAAGAGTTGATAAAGATGAAGGTGAAGGATCTGCGAGACTATTTGGCACTCCGGGAGATTTCCACAGAGTTGTGTCGTGAAAAGGAGGACCTGGTATTTCTGATTCTTGGCCAGCAGCCTGTCATTACCCAGGAAGATCAGATAAGAACAAATCCATTTACTACTAGTGCCTCTGGACAGCAAGACTTTGTGATTCTCCCACCAACCAGCACAGCATCTTCTACCTCACATGATGCGTCTCCCGTGTCTGCAGATCCCATCTCAAGTTCACTAGCTCAGGAACATCAACAGGTACAATCTCTAGCCAGAAGCATCTTTTGCAAACTCATTCATCTCTAATTTTGGATTAACTACTAATATGTTGCATGAGGTTTTCCAAACAGATAACGTGCCAAAAGAAGTTTTACATTAAAGATGCCTGCTTAAAAAGCAAGGAGGGCTTCTGTTTAGAACAGATGACAAAATACTTTAGTTGCATTTTATACATGTTCTTCTCAGGTTTTGAAGGGAGGACCTCACACTTTTTCTTATAGAATTATTAGGAAAGTAAGAAGACTTATTTTACACTGCCTTGCTGTGTAAAACTGTAACTTGCTGTCACCAGCTCTGATGTGGGGTTCCCTTTCTATGCTAGTGGAATTTAATTTGGTGGGTGGTGCTGAATATATTGAACGTCCATTCTGAGAACAGCATTGCTGTTTTGAGATGCGTTTGCTCTGGTGCTCTGGTCCACGCTTGCCATTACCACTAGATACTGCTGTGACTGGTTCCTTGGTACTTGATGTCTGTGCGGGTGCACAGATCTATCTTGTGCGTTGATGTTGACAACTTTCTGACAATTGTATGTAGTTGTTAGGTGAAATGGGTGTTATTGTTCTGTAGTCCACGGGCATGACAGCAAGCACAGTTTAAAGCAATTTTGGAACTGAAACTGATGAGAAAGATGACTGTGAGATAGGTGAGGTTTTTGGTGTCTTCTGCATGCTGATCAATAGAACACAAAATCTGAGTCTGTTGTTAAGTCTTCAGTTTACGATGAACCCTGCAGTTCTGACAGACCTTGTCAGGGGCATTTGAGCTTAATTATTTTTTATTAACTCTGCTTTGTTTGTCTTTCTGCTATCTGATACGGGAAGTTTACTCAGTTTTTGACATCTGCTCCTAGTCCTGTTACAAAGTTAATAGGTGTATTTAGTTCCCTGTGGACCAGAACTGTGAAAGCGTATGTACCTTCTGTTTCCTCAGCAGATCTATCTAGTACAAAGGAAGAGTTTTCCTGGGAGGACATTTTTCGCAGGTCATTAAAACGCCTTTTCATTCTCTGGTTTTCTGGATATTGCCATTCCAATTTTTACCAGCAAATTCAGCTCTTTGTCTTCCCTTACTGCCCCTGTGATACATTTCAGCTTCTTGTCTCGACTTGCATGACATCCTGCTACAGTTCAGGCTCTTTCATCATTATTGTTGTTATTTTCCTTTGTAAATATTAACAAGACACCACTTAGATCAGTAGGATGGTAACATTACAGTCTGCTTTGTCAGCAGGGAAACCACAGAGGGGACTGATGGCTGCTGAGGGGAAGTCAGCTAGAATTATACTGCAGTTCCTTTCATTTTATTAGGTGCTCAAAGCAACTGCCCCTTCATTCTCCAACTTTGCCTTCGCTGGTCCTTCTCTTAGTATCTCCTATTTGTCCAGTCCAGAACCCACCTGAAAGGGTGTTTCTGTGTGGTTACTTTGAGGATGACCTGCAGGCTGTGGGCTGTGTTACAGAGGAGTCTTATACAGAGCCCTGTACTGGTAGCCGATGTGCCGTCAGAGCTGTGATATCACACCATGTCACACTGCAACACTCGGTGACGGATTGCATGTAAATATACACACGTGTATAAATTTGGTCTCCTCCTGATCCAGCCTCACAAGAACATCACATGGGATCTTACTGTATGAGTCCTCTGTCAGGGTTTAAATAAAGTGGGGCTTTAAAGGGTCAGATGCTGCACTTCAGTTTCAAAAAGTTTTGCTTGTGTATTTGTTTTTGAAGTGCTGCACAGGAAATACCTTCTGGGAGTGTGCCTGGCTTTTACCTTGTGCTGCCGTTGGTCCTTCCAGTGGGCAGGGTTCACAGTTATGCTGAACTATCAAGCTCATTTCCCTTTGGACACACAAAGATATGCTGTTGGTGAAAGCTTTATTTCCTCTTCCAGGCAAATGGTTATGTGCCTCCGAGCCAAGCCGGTACGACAGGAGTTGAGAACGCAGCAGAAGCACCAACAGAGGAGGAGACACAGGTTTGTGTGTCCTGGAATTAGATGACAAGGAATACCAGGTTTTCTAGCCGTGGGGGTGGACTAAATGAGCTCTGGACGCCCCTTCCAACACCTGCCATTCTGTGATTCTGTGTGATTCTAGGTCTTATTTGACACCATAGAATCATTACTGCTGAGATGGGTGGCTAAACAGTAACTCAGACTGCCCACCGGCAGACCCAATCAACCCCTTTCTTTAGCATCATCTTGTCCTCCATGTATACAAAGAACTGGTGTCACTTGGACACTATAATAATAGAAATTGTGTCCATCCTAGGACTTGTGTTTCTGATGGATGAACGAATTTACAGAGTAATCAGTTCTATGTACATCCAAATGTGAATTCCTGCTAATGCATGTTGAGAGTTGATTTAAGTTGTAGTTCTAGGTGTTGAGGGCAAGAATCATCGCGTCTTTGTTCCCTTTCAGTCTACAGACTCGGAAGATAACCTGGTGCAGGGAAGGAAGGCTTCTCTCTCTGATCTAACAAGCATTGGAGACATCAATGCACTCTCCGTGCGACAGCTGAAGGAAATTCTTGCTCGCAACTTTGTCAACTACAAAGGCTGCTGTGAGAAGTGGGAGCTGCTAGAGAGGGTGACTCGTCTTTATAAAGAGAAAGACCTTCAACATCTAGGTAAGAAACTCTGCAAGTGTGTACCTGTTCTCCAGCTTTTCCCTTTCTATGGGCGGTTGCAGAAGGGAACAGAACTTCCCTTGCATTTCTATTTTGTGCAAGTGAGGAGGGTGGAGGGAGCCTTTCTGTGTGAAAGTAGCTAAACTATTCACCACTACTTGTACTTGTTCAAGAGGAGAGCGTCACGGTAGCTCTGGAGAGTGACTTCCCTGTAATAGCAAGAAATGAGAACTGTGTGCCCTTCATCTCGGGATTCTGTGTAGTTGTGGCAGATCGCTGGTCATTGCATCACCCACACAACAGCTGATGTGTGACTGTAGACAGATGACTGTAAGTGCTGGGGTGAGCTCTTATCTGTTGACTCATGGTAACTGGCAAAGTGAGCAGAAAAATGTCTGGCCCTAGCAGGAAAATGCTACCAAAAAGCAGCCGGACAATTTGGAGCGGGCATGTGCTCAGTGACAGTGGCTCCCACTGCTGAACAGTTGCGGTTATTGGAGGTTTGGCTCTGTCCTCCTGATCACAAGGGCGTTCCTCCTGTGCGCTACCTGCTCCTCTGGGCCTGCAGTTGACGGATGAGGGGATAGTGGTATGACAGGGGTGCATAGAGAGTGTGTTTGGCTTGACTTTCAGGTGCCAGTTTGCAGTTTGAGGTGATTAGTTAAAAAGGACATATACTTTTAATTTACAAGAGAAAGGTATTTTAACACTTTGATTTCATAGAGTTTTGTCTCAGTGTTGTCCAAAGTAGCCTTGTTTTCTTAAACACATCTCTCTAAGCTTTGTCCTCTATGAATGATAGAAGATTTAAGACAGCCGCTTTGGTTTTATATTCTCATTGTATCTTGTGCTTTTGACAGAATTTATCCTTTTCTCTTAATCACTGTTGCCTGCGCGTGTCTCAGCTGTGCTCAACAACGTTGCTGAGATTGTGTAACAGCAAAGGAACCGGCACGAGGGGCTGCTGAAAGTGTAGTTCTAGGAAGCCAAACACTGCATAGATTCCAAAGGCTGCCTTAATAATTGAGATATCACTTTAGATAGTTGCTCATCTTTGTGAAGCATTAGCTAGTGTGTAAGCTCAGTAAAAGAGAAAGTTTCTTGCCAGTTGAACAACCTGTCCTGATCGGAGACTTGCTTAAACCTCTGCATGGGAATCGGCAAAAAGCAGTTTTGGTTTAGTGATCTCCCTTCAAGGCTTTCAGCTCCTGCTAATACTGCTTGAGTAAATTTTTTTTCCAGCTTCTCTTATTCTCACCAAATAACTTTCTCTTCTTATGTTGCAGTTTCTGACACTGACGATCAAACTGGTAAGTGCTGTTCTTAATCATAGAATCGTTTAGGTTGGAAAAGACCTTTAAGATCATTAAGTCCAACCGTAAACCCAGCACTGCCATCCCACCGCTAAACCCTGTCCCTAAGCACCGCATCTACCCGTCTTTTAAAACCTCCACGGATGGAGACTCAACCACTTCCCTGGGCAGCCCCTTCCAGTGCTTGATAACTCTTTTGGAGAAGGAATTTTTCCAAATGTCCAATCTAAACCTCCCCTGGCACAACTTGAGGCTGTTTCCTCTCATCTGATAACTTGTTACTTGGGAGAAGAGACCCATGTTGCTCCATTTGCCGTATTGCTAAGAATCTCAGTGTTATTTCTGTTCTCATCATGCAGAAATGACTGTGTAAAAGCTAAAACTTTCTGCTCCTTGCCAGGTGGTGGAGCAGATATAATCCACATCAGTGCAGACACAAGGGGAATTTTTTTCAGACCTTCAAGTGTGCAAAAGTACCTTTGACGAAGCCAACTCATAAAACCAAGATACCTTTTTTTTGTCTCATGCAAACTGTGGTCTCTTGTTTACTCAGGTGGTGCTGGGCTCCCTGGCACGGAGGACAACCTCTGCAAAATCTGCATGGACGCACCCATTGACTGTGTCCTGCTCGAATGCGGCCACATGGTCACGTGCACCAAGTGTGGGAAGCGGATGAGCGAGTGTCCCATATGCAGGCAGTACGTGATAAGGGCTGTCCATGTCTTTAAGTCCTAAGCATGCGTAAGGAAGACTGGTGATGCCTTAAAACCTCATCTGCTGTTAGAGAAGTGGTCAAAATCCCTACAAATAGTTAGGTCAGCGATTAGCCTATGGACCCCATTGGAAGCTGGAAGTGAGGGAAGGATGAAGCCTGGGGAAAACTGCTCTTTACTCAAGCCACGCCTGGCTGTGCTCTTCCCACTATAGTGCTTTACACCGCAGTGCCTGGACTCCTTGGAGCTTGTTGCCAGCAGCAGACACAGAAATCATTAACCACCTACGTTCTAGAATAACTTGATCCGCTAGCGTTGGGGATAGACAGATGCTTGGCTTTCCACCACAAAGATTGGATTCGGAGGCTTCGTATTTTCCCCTGAATAATAACCGAAAGTGGAATGGGGTCTCCAAAAGGGACATTTGTTTTGCTGATTAGGCTTTACACCCAGCAACAACTTTATTTTCAAAGATTAAAAGTTTTTTGTGCTTGGTAATCTTTTTTTTTTTTTTAAACTTAAATTCTTATGCTTGCAGGACAGGCAGACTGCCTCTGATTTCCATATTCAGAATAAGCATAATTCTAGCCTAGTGCAATTGTGGAAAGATGTATAATTTTATTTGAAGATAGGACTTTGTATAATTGAAAAGTGTAAGGGGAGTGAGACTCCGTGAATGACACAGCCTTACCTTGTGTGGTGGTGGTCTGTTTACGTGCCAGCCAGAGGGGGGATTTCTAGTTTTGATTGTTGTCAATTCCTTTGACTTCACAGGCTTCCTTACAGTATATGCCAGCAGTGGTTTTAAACCTGAACTGACTTCACTGATTAAGGAGCTACAAATCCAAGGCTTGAGTCTTTTAAAGGGTTTAGTGAGGGAAACATACAGCTAAAGAGTAGGAAGGACTCCATTGCTACACAATCATATTTAAGTACAAGTAATGTTTTCTTTTTAGAGGGAAGACATGAAAAGAAAGCATACTTTATCTCCCTTGAATCAGTAAGATGAACGCTCCAGCTTCCCTCCATCCTCCCCTTTGCTCAGTTTTACAGTCCTGTTACATCCAGACTGCTTATCAAAAGCAATTTATTTTGTGTTCTTTTGCTTGCGAGGGTGGATAGCAGATTGTGGTCTGATATATGACAATTGCAAGCCCTTACAGCTGTCCTCATGAACAGCGCCTTCATTTGGAAGCCTTACTAGAGAAAATTGTAACTGGCGTATTTTTCCCTCAGTGGCCTGCAAGTGTTCAAGCTGTTTGGCTGCTAACACACCTCAGTTTCAGAATCTTGATGCCTTAAGTCTTCAGCCACCATGGGATTGTTACTCATTTCAAGTCATTTGTGAAGTTGAGTACCTTCTGCTTTCCCCTGTAGGGGGGAGTGTGATCACTTGATCACTTAGTGTCCAAACCAAATCTCTGCCAGCAGAGCAACAGCACAAAAACCAAGTGTCCCCTTACAGCTTCCGGAGTAGTGGAAATGCAGTTACAGAAACGATCACCAAAGCCATCTACTTTTGCAATAAGTTGTAACGTACGTTAACAGCAAATCAAACTTGTGTAATCTTTACCATGGAATATCACATGAGTAGCAACTCGCTTCTCAGCTGGCACAGAGTGGAGGGGCTCTAGTCTGCAAGTTGGAATCAAAAAAGCGCTTAAGATGAGGAAATCTGGCACATGGTAGGTAGGGAGCAGAACCTCTGCGCTATTGAGGTGGTCTCTAGTAACAAAAAAAAAAAAAGTGCAGGTAAGCAGTAGCTGTATTTACTCCTCAAGAGGTTCCCAGAGACGTCTTTGAGGTGCAGGAATACACATACACATACACTAAATGAGTGCTCAACAGCCTCATTTAGTAAAGTCACTGTGAAAATTCATGTTATGTTTTTCAGTAAACTCAGGGCTGGGGGAATTTACCAGTAAGAAGATTATTCCCCTGTGGACAGATGTACTTTTACTTGTAGAGGGTAGGCTTATTTTCTACAGCAGATAAATCAAGATGCAGATCAACGCCTGAAATTTTAGGACGGAGAAGATCCATCGACCAGATGACTGAAATGTGCTTTCTGAAGGGAGGACTTTTTTTTTTTTTTTCTTTTTTTTCCCCTGACTACAGTATTTCTCTTGCAAAAATGGATTCTTTACTAGGGATATGATTGAATCATTTTTAAAGGAAAATCAAAATCTGGAGGAAACTGATTAATGATCCAAAGGAATATAATGATCTGAACTAATAAAGTAAAATGGAAATATTTATGTGCTTTATGTATACTGTACATAGTTTAAATATTTAAAAAGTTAATATTCTACTTGAAAGGGCATGTTATTCTCTATTAAATCCTCTTGGTACTATGATGGTTAAACTTACTAGTTTTGGTACAGAAGTTTGGTTTATAATTTTATAATAAAGTTGAAATGTGATTTAGGTAACCTTGTTTTCTGACTGCTACCAACAGGCTAAGAGAAAGCAGAGATCCTACAGCTACTTCTGAACTTCCACCAGGACAGGCTTGGGATACCAGGTGCTTAAATATCATTCAAGGGGGGGGTACAAGTACAGAAGAGGCTGAAGGAGAAAAGTTAACTGAAACCACTAACTTTTAGCAGCACCATCTTAACTTTGTGAAGGTTACAAAGGGGAGAGCACACTCTGTACTCTTGAGACTAAGGGAACCAGTGAACTGGCCAACGCGCTTTTCCTTTCATAAGGTACACGTGCACTGAGCCAACACCTTCAGGGTTCAGGCAGAGTTATTCAGCAAATAACTGTATTGCAAATGACAATGTGTAAGTTAAAAATGAACCCCTCTTTCTAAAACCTAGCTTCCTTATTTCATTAATATTCAAGTACTTGCAATAGTTTTGAACAGCTTCAGCGAAGGACATCTCTCAGCTATCCCAAAAGATCCAGATGGTAGCGTTCCTTTCTCAGCTTTTACTTGTTGGAACATGAACAGCAGAACACATGAGCAACATATTCTAGAAAATGGATGCTTGGGTAACGCTACAGCCGTTGCTGTAACAGAAGCTTATTTGGTGTCCAGCTCCGTTATGAAATCACAGCAGAGGTGTAAACTGCTACTGTGCTGCGTGTTAGAAGACAGGAAAGAAAAGTCAAACTAGGAGGACGCGTGTCCTTCATGCAAATTGTAGCCTTGCAGCAACATTATCCTGGCACTAGAGCCAACAGTTTCACATACCTGGTGGTCTCTTCTCCTGTCCAGGCAGAGAATAACTTTTGGAAAATAAGTCCTGACAGCAAAGGAGAAACTGCTTCAGTTTTATTTCTTTATCTATAAAAATACCCGAACTTTAAAAACCCACGGAGACTAAACCAGCACCTAGATATGTGCATTGTTCTACGTTATGGGCAGAAAAATGGATTCAGCAGTGACATTTCTTCAGAGAGTTGTTTTAATTAATTCCATGTGGTTGCTACGGATCTTTGTAACTATCTCTGATGGACCTGGGCATTTCATTTCTATCCATGTCTCCACAGAGGTATCTTGACTTTTCTTCCACCTACCTAGTTCTCAGGTGTTCCCTTCAGGAATTCTTGTGTCAGGACTGGTCAGCTGCCCCACACTGCTAGCAGGGGGCTACCAGTCTCCGCTTCCGGATGCATTGCCAGATCCAGTTGGGAGACACACGCTTAGCACCAGGATTGTCATCAATGTCCCCTATAACATGCGTTGCTGAGGCTGTGTCAAACTCTGGCACAAGGTCCCCATCATACGCTATAAAATACCGCCGGATTTTGTCGAAGTCCTTCACGGAGGGCGACAGGTACAGCTTCACACCAGTGAATATGTCCAGCAGCGTCTGCATATTGTGAAAGAGGATGAGAAGCACAAGTTGGTAAAAATACTAGATTGCTCTGGAAATTGCCCTAACTTTTCTGAAGCACAAACGAGTCTGTTCGCATTGTTCTAATCCCATGCCTAAGAAGTGTAAATCACTCTTTGGCCTGCCATTAAATCATACACAAGAGCAACACCCATACAGTTCCTCTGAAAGCCAGATGTTACAGCTGAACAGCGGTTCCCTAGCTAAGGGGAATTATTACCCCATTATTCCCCTTAGTGATGATGCAGACATGGTCCAGTAAACGCCATCTTAATGCCTTTGTCTTCACAAGCTGATGCTTCTTAGTTAGGAGAACATAACCGCACTGGGAGGGGACTTGCTGTTTACATCAAAATAGCTACCGCAGGTTTATCAGGAAATCATAGCTCAGTGATTCTTAATCCACTCCTACAATCTGCTGCACAATGGGCTAGAAAGGACAGTTCTCTCCTCTTACAGCTCCCAGCTCTTCCCTGTGCAGCAGTCAGGAAGAGCAGCTGCTCAGCAGTGACGGCGCTTTGTGGAGCAGGACAGCAGCAGTGGGTGAACAGAGACTTCAGCATGGCAGCCCAGTTATGTCAGCTCTGCAGACAGGGCAGAAGAGCTGCAACATCCGCTTCCTTTACAAAGGGCTTGTTGCTGCTATTTCTGCCTTTACATTTCATTTTAATTTAGGGTGCTGCTATAGGGAGATTTCAAAGATTTTTCCAGATGGAAGGCAAAAGTGAACAGAACTGAAACTACCTCTGCTTCCTCCCACCCCAGAGCGGTTGCTGTCCAGCCGTCCATACCTTTTTTCCATTGTCATCCATCTCAGATGCTTTTCGCTTCTCCCCTCGCTTTTCCTCTGATTTTTTAGGGGATCCAATGACTGCTTTGCTTTCTGAAAACAAAAACTTGTCTCAGTTGTGCTCTCTGTCTGGATAGTGGTTGTGTATTAAAGTGGAGGAGAGGGTAAAAGGCTTTCCCCTCCTCTTTCTGGAAAATTCATGAAGTAGAATGTTAACTAGAAAGACACATTTTTCTACTGCAAATGGCGTGGGCCATCTTCCTGCCCTCACCTCCAGGATGCTGCTGTTCAACTTCCCTCCTTGCTGTCACCACGCTGCCTTTTTGGGACTGCTCAGAAATCTGCTTCAAGTTATTCCCCAGTGAAAAAGCGCTGGTGAAGCCAACTCACTTCACAGCTTTGCCATTTACTACCTGGAAATCCCCTCCATCCAGGTGGCCCATTATATGCATGAATTTCATCCAAATAAAATTAAATACTGGTTCATGGCCAAAAATGCCTAACCAAAGGGCTTGTGATCTGCAGGAACAGGAGCAGCAGGTTTGCTCTTCAGACCAGTCTTACACAGTCTGCTAAGGACATTTATCTATAAGATTAAAGGGGACTGCAGTCCCAGAGAAATCCCCCCAAAGTAGTTTTGGTACTAACTATCACTGAGATGCTGCTAGGCTCACGATACCTGTTCTAAGCAGCATATATAGCTGTGGCTATTCAATCCATGCTGTGACAACACATGCCAAATCAAGGGTCTGAACAGCTTTGTCCGTTAACCCCAAGGTGCTCGTGAAAGCTGCTGAGGATCTTCAAGCACCTGACAGAAGGCAAAGACCCAAAGCCAGCCTGCCCAAACGCAGAGAACGCACCCTGAGGCTCCTCTCCCTGGAAAGCGCCATCTTACCTTCTGGCTTCTGGGCTTTCGCGGGCGACTTGCTCGGGGGAGTTTTAATAGTGCTGTGTGGCGTGGAAGACCTGGAATTTCCCTCATTCTCGCCACTACTGCCAGCCGTGGACTCATCTTCCTCCCCAGCAACCACGTTGAAATCAGCCTTCTCTTTGGAGAGCTGGTACAGTTCCTGTCCCACCAGAAACAAAGCACTGCCCTTAGCCACAGTGAAACCTCTGATGCTAGACACGAGCCGTAAGGCGTGTGCTCCTCTTGTTTGCTTCCCCCCGTCCCCAAAGTGTTTGCTCATGTTTTTTTCTCCCTGCACCTCATTGTAGTCATTTTCCTGTCAACTTTGTTCAAACTCTTTGTGTTCCACCCAGCTGCTTGACATGAAGGGAAGCCATACCAGGAGGTACCAAAATATATACATTCACACAATATATATATATTCAACCTTTCACAGCCTGGCTCCCTAGCCTGAAAGACGAATGACAGCCATTGCTCACTCAGGGCGCAGTCTGTCTGAAGAGTGTTTTACCTTTCTCTCCCCTACCTGCGTAAGGAGCCAGAAAGACTGCTGGGCAGCAGGGGGGCTGAATCACTTCTTGCTTCGATGGCGTAACAAGCACTTACATCTGCTGCCAGTATCCCTGCAGGCAGTGTGAGGACAGCCCAAATGACAACAACCAGACTGAGAACAGAGCTCATCAACAGCTGACTTACTGCTGGGGATGGCAGCAAGCCAACCGGTTTCTATCAGTAAAGGAGGCCTGGGCGCTGCGTGGGGTGGGTGCAGCCCTAGGGGTCCTGGCAGGCAGCCATTCGGCCCCTTCGCCCTGGAACTGGGCCAGGCTGCCCTCAGGCACTTCCCAGATGCCTCCCCCGGTCTCAGCAATTAATGGGAGACCAAATGACCATAAACACTTAAGAGAATAAAGGTCACCTCTTTCAGGAAGGAAATTCCTCACCATGAAGGCCGTTACAAGAGCTGATACAACTAGCTGCCAGCACAGACTTTTCCTGAAAGTGCACAACACAACAGCTCAAGAGACTTGAGAGGCCCCATGAAAGATTTAAGATTCACACCAAAATAATCCAGCAAGCAGCCTGAGCCTAGAATAAACGGGAAATGTAAATGCCATCATAGGTACCAGTCAGCAGGTATCTTCACTACATAACCCTGCTATCCAAATTTG